TCAGCAGGATGTTGCTAGCACAGTAAATCTGCCACTCCGCATCTGTGAGTTGGTTGCTGTATTTTCTTTACTGTTTCCGCACAGTACAATACTGTTGTTGTAATTGGTTTGCTTCTCACAAATCCAGAAAAAGGGGGAATTGGTAACGTGGATTTTTGCGTGCTTCAAGTTTCATTTTTTTGTGGCTGACACTTGGCTTATAAGATCGAATAGAGGTGGGATATCTGAGGTGAAGGTTTTGTTAAATTTTTGAGATACTGTTTTGATCCTTCTGTTGTTTACAAGAAAGTTAAAGGGACAATTATACATATAACAAAATTTGTTTTAAAAAGATAGGAAGATAGGAGTAAAAATTTTTTAGTGGAATATATTTAAATATTAAAATTAAAGCATTGACTGGAAGCAGTTTTGTTAAGGGAAGCTTCTATTGCAGTGTTAAAACTCAAATTAGCAAGACAGTACTGGTGCATAGAAAGTGCTCCTATATTAAGTCTTATGTTAAACCAGCATAGTCCAGCTTGTAAAAATCCATTCAGCCTACCACCTTTGCCTTGGAGAAGACATTTCTGTGTGCATGAGGGCTTAGAGGTAAAGTTGGAGCTGCAGCTTGTTACTGTGTCTGTTTATAACTGTGTGCTAAGAGCCACAAGCTGCTGCCCTCAAGCCCTTGTGGTCCTCACAGGGCAAAAAAGGATGTTACTGTACTGCTTTGTGCCACAGAAAAGCTCAGATCATCAATTGGCCAGTGGTCAGAGTTTAGTGTCTGCAAGTTATGATGGTAAATGAGCTGCATGCATGGTGAAAAAATAAGTCCGAGTTTAAAAAGTCTGTTGTTCTAACATGGTAATAGTAATAAAGTAACAAAGGTGTAAAAATGTGGAAGCTCTTTTCCTGAAGCAGGCTTCCTGTTTTGGCTCTTCTCACCTCATTAACATCAGCTGCACTGAATAAGAAGAGAGAGTTTTGATTAATGTGTTTCCCGTTTGCATTATAGGAAGATGCAGGATGTGCCATTGTTGCCCTCTTTGGATTATGAGAAACTGAAGAAAGATTTGATTACAGGGAATGATCGTCTCAAGGCCTTCTTACTGCAGGCTCTGCGCTGGGTAAGGGAGATGGCATCTGCACAAAAAAAGAAATAGGTCCCTTCTGGAGGGGTCCAGAACTGAAATCCATCTTGTGAGCAACATGATTGTTCTGGTGATCAGTTCAGCATTATAGGCAACTTCTCTCTTTGTCAGTGAAGCTTGCTGAGGCTCTTGAGATGATGAAGAAAGCCCAGGCAGTAGGTATGTATTTGTAGCAGTACTCTCCCTGTCTGAGGAAAGCCGGATAGGAATTCCTGGGATCCTTGGTGGAAGTAATTTCTGATGTGTTTTCAAGGAAAGTGTTGTTGTTTTAGGCAGTTCCTTTTTTCATGTATTGCCCTGGTTTAGATTTATATAGAAATTTCTGTATCAAAGAGAGACCTGACTCTAATCACCAGTTTTTCTTTATAATCAAGATGTTCTGCAAGAACCTACATTTTGGTTGTCTCGGATCATGTAATGATATTTTGGAAGAATTAAAGGTGACAACAGGAAGTTACATTTTCCTGCTGAAAAGGAAGCTGATGGATTGAAAGTGACAGACATGAAAGATGATAATAGTGGAATTCTGATCAAGCTTTAATGTCCATTTTCACATAAAAAAAAATCCGTTGGGTCTGACCAGTGGTTCTTCTAGCTCGGTACTCTGTCTCAGATGTTTTAGAAAAGGACCGCATCTGTAGCTATTAAAGGGGCTTTTTAACTTTATGGGAAGTAATGCTGTATCCTTCCTGTATGGACAGTGATGACAGCTCCCACGTAACAGTTTTGTAGTGGATCACTGAGCTAAGGTCAAGTCAGTTCATCTCCTCTCTCTCCCTTAGGTCACTGATGTTGAATTCCTTCTCCTCATGAGAAGAGGTTTCTCAACTATAGTCTATCAGCACCTTTAAAACCTTCAGTGGTCATCAATTCACATTACCATTTATTTATTTGACTGGTTTATTTGTGTTGTTATTTATTTTAGCGCTTAACAACATCATATCCTGGAGAACAGAGAGACACGGTCCTGCAAGCCTACATCAGTAATGACCTCCTAGACTGCCACAGCGACCGTCAGGTCAGCCGGAAAGGGTTTCCCTTTCCAACTTGTATGTGATATTGCTCATTTGTTCACCAACAAAATTAACAGATTTTTTTTGTCACTGACTAAATATTAATTTTGGATATGAGCTTTAGCTGATAACGGTGTTGGTTCATCATAATTCTCACCCTACACCATGGAGCTTGATGGTGTTTTAATAGACTGAGCCAAGGAGCTCTAATTTGCTTATTTGTTCATTTTCCATCTCTCCCTCAGCCCCCTGCCAATAAAGAAAGAAACTGGGAAATTTTAAATCATATTGACATTATTTAAGATATCAATATGCATTCCAAGTTTGTTTGCTGTGAAAATTTAATGAAGTTTTTAAAACATTATAGAAGACTATAACTTCTATAACTATAACTCTGTTTTTTCCTGCTTTGATGAGTTTTTATTAATGTTTGCTTTCTTTTTCAGAGAAGTGTCCTCAAATTATTACATTCTAAGAGTGAGGTAGTCAGACAGTATATGGCAAGGCTCATCAATGCTTTTGCTTCCCTGGCAGAAGGTAAGAGATCTGCTGAAAAAAAAAAAGACAGCATTTTCATATAAGGCTGGCTTATAGGTACTTCACAAGTGCATGTCACTGCATGTGGAAATTTAGAGCATTATTTGCTCCCTTTTTCTAGGGATTCACTGTCTTTTGTTACATGCATTCAAAACTGGTTTTCAGTGTCTTGAAAGTTTTCATTTTGACACTTGTATATTCAGCATTTCTGACTTCTTTTGATGATTTGTGGTCTATGTGGGAGCTTACCCAGGTGCTGCCTTTAATATAGTCTTCAGTCTCTTCAGGAGGGTTAAAAAAAAGAAAAATAGAAGAAAAATCCCTGTTAGTTAAAGGTCCTGTAGGCAGACCTGCTACCAGGCTGTACAACAGTAGTTAGTGCAGCTGCTCTTGCATCTTCCTGGTCCTCACCTGAATAAATCTTTGTGCATCATTGCTGTTTGGTTGCATACATATGCAGCTTTGTATCTCTGCCTGTCCCAAATTAGCTCTTGGTTTGGTGCTACTTAAGGAGCTAACTACTGCTAGGAACTGAAATCCCATTTAAAGTCAGTAGCAGTAGGGCACCTAACTTTCCAGAGCACTTCGGACATCTCTGTTCATTACCTAGAGAATGTAAAACTGTGATAGATCAGAAAGCATGTACTGAAAGAAGGATAGTGGATTCTGTGTGGTACTAACTTGGCAAGTGGGGGCCTCTAATGCCCCAAGTGGCTGGATTGAATGCAACTGGTCTGCTAGACAACTCATTTGTGCAGGTTTGTCTGGGTCTTGGCACAAGATAGTGGCTTGTCAAGAAGAAACTGAGGTCAATCCTACTTACTTTTCCAAGGAGAGGGAGCTTTTCTGTCATAAGCTGGTATCTCAGCATCTGTTCTTTCATCGCTTTTTGCACCAGGTCGTGTCTACCTTTCTCAGAACCCAATGTTGCTGCGAATGCTGGAAGAGAGACTGAAAGCTGAAGACAAGGATTCCCTTACATGGGAGAATGTTCTGGGGGCTCTGCAGAAATTCAGCCTCAGGTGATGAAAGCACAGCACGCAGTGGTGACAGCAGGAGAGGAAATGCAGGCTACTTAGGCTCTGTTCAGGGAGGAAAGAAGAGCACTTGATTTTCCCATAACAATCATCAGAACCTCTGATGACTGATGAAAGCAGTGTTGTTTGTTATGGAGGAGAACTCAGTTTTGCTGACTGAATTAACCTGACTTCCTACCAGCTGTCAAGACTCAAGTAAATGTACATCTGCCATAGCATTGTGTGCTTGTATTCCTTAATTGAACAAAGTGAAAATCTTAATGTAGAAAGTTCTGAAGATTCTGTGTAGAAAAAAAGAGTTGCATTACATTCCAAAGCACAAGGTTTTCATTATCCTTTTTGCAAACATTTTTCAGGGATTTCATCCTCATCCTGTTGATCCTATTTCCTGGAGCTGTATATGCATGGGCTGTCTTGTTTCTTACTTTTGTATTAGCAGTCTGACTCAAATGCCCACCACAAAAGAAATACTATGCAAAAGCAGTAAAGGGCATGATGTTGCTCGCATTTATCAAATAAACACGACCTAGGAACTCTGTTTTCACAGTACTCAGGAGGAATATTCAGCCCTGAATAGTTAACTAAATGTAAGGAGGTAGATGGATGTGTTTAGCTCTTGTTATTTTAATTCATGTTTCTTCTAATTTAAGACTGCAAGTGTTGGGGTTTTTTTTATTTGTTTGTTTGGCTTGTTGAAGAATGAGGGCTGCTTTTGGGTTTGCCTCATTTAGAACTTGTCTGGATGCAGCACATGCAAATGTGCTTTGGGTAAAATTCTGGACTGCTTCCTGACATGATACCTTATACATATTTGAAATGAAAGAGAATGAATCTTCATACCCTACTGCTTGAAATCCTAAACCAATCTTAGAGAAAATTATTTTTCTATTAAAGCGGTTGTTGATAGTACAAATTAGTTTGAATTTTGGGACCTAGGCACTAAGCTACTGAAAATTTGAAAGTTTTTTACTTTCTAAAATATAACAGATAATCTTGTAGAAGATTAATTCCAGATACTTGACATAAGGGACTCTTGTTTTTTAATGTGTGGTCAGATGCTCCCTTGTTTTGCGCAGTCCATGCCATAGACCTACTGCAAGATCCAGGACTGAGAAAGTGTATGAGCTTTCAAGAGCAATCCAAATCCTAGGTACTAAGACCAGGAAAACACCTGCTTTGATCTTTATAATTTAGACTTACTGCCCATTGGAAATAATGTGATTAAAAATGGTGATCTTCAGTAAGACCTTTCTACCAGTATATACTTCTTTTTTGTATTGTAAAGCGAGGAATTCCTGTTATAGGAGATCACAGTTGACCCCCTGCCACTTTATTCAGTATACTCTTCGAGGGCAACTACAGGATGAGTTAAAAGCATATGTGATTTAAGAATCTCTAGAGAAAAGAGCGAATAGATTTAAGCAAAAAATCTTGTTTGTCAAATCAACAGTACAAAAGTGCTATGGCTACCTATGGCAGAGGAAGCAATTAATTTGTTTTATGGGTCTGTTGTGTGTAGCTGGCTTTTTTTACCAATTTTAAGACAACTGAAAATGCAATTTTAGGTGGAGTTAGAAGCCTTAGAAAACAATGAAAAAACCTCAGCAGTTTGCAGGTTTAAAAAAAACAAAACAAACCACAAAAAAACCCAACCCACCCAACAATATTTTAGTCCTCTAACCTTATGGGAATCTGCATCTTCAATTTCTTCAGGCTTTGTTAATTCTTTAGTTTAATTGATAATGCCAAAATGGGTAGGTTTGGGTTTTTTTGTTGGCAGGCTAGTGTATAGCACGTTGATGAAGTAGGGTTTTAATGTGCTTATATTAGCTATAAATGTATTTGAAAGCTTTTTATGATGTGGTCTGATTTTTGTGGGCTTTTTGTTTTTTAATCCTAGGCGTGCACTGCAGTCAGCAATGATCAAAGATGGGCTCATTTTCTGGCTGGTTGATGTCCTAACAGATACAGAATGCCTGTCTGATTACACACTGGAGTATTCTGTTGCCTTGCTCATGAATCTTTGTCTGCGGAGTGCAGGTGTCTTACATTTTGAATTACAACCTTATTCCAAGAAATGGATAGGGAAGACTGTGAATCCTTTTTTCTGATACACCTGGATTCATTCAAGTGACTATAATTAGTAGCAGGGACTCATATAACCAGAGATATTTGAGTGTTATAACCAATGCTTTTGAGCAGATCTCTTTCCCAAGAATCCCATACTATGGAGGTTAGCTTGACCCAAATCTAAAGAATTAAGAAAACAGTTAATCAATGGAATCCTCTAAGATTTGATTCTTTTTTTGTATCCGTATGTGAGGACTTGCCATTCCAACATTCTAGGCCCACATTTCAAAGGACACTTCTTACTTGCGTAAGAGATTTGTTTGAGTAAAAGGAAGTCAGAACTGAGTTGATCAATAATAGCAAGGAGCTTAACCTTCACCTTGTGGAGTGAAATACTTGCATGCTTCGCTTCTATAACACCGAAATTCCCCCCAGGAAACTAAGGTCCTGTCTATATCCAAGAGACTTAAAAGAAGCTTAAAGTAAGTTTCCTTTTAAAAAGGAAAGTAAGGTAAGGGTGAAAAATCAACTGCTTGCCATAAGCAAAGTAATGTCTTTGTTAAGCTTTTTAAAATCCCTTTGTGTTGCATCCTGTCCAAGATTACAACTGTATAAATCCAGAGTAACTCCACTAATTTCAGCTCAGTTATGCTGAGCAGCATTTGGCAGGGACAAGGAACAGTATTGCTCTGTGTAAATTATATTTAGTGCTGATTTTAAGAAGTAAGCAGCTTGCTCTGATCTGTTACTTTTTTTTCAAGCATATTTATGTTTTCTCCCTTTGTAGGGAAGAAAATGTGTGCAAGGATTGCAAACCATGTGCTCAAAGTTCTCTCTGATCTTCTTGGCCATGAGAATCATGAGGTATTTGTACAGCGAACTTTGGGTTAAGGAAAAGGTGGAAAGAAAAATTAAAGATAAAAAAAGACAAGAAAGGAAGAAATGAAAAAAACTAAATTGGCTTTGTTTCCCTTATTAGACCCATGTGTAATTATGTTCCATGAAATTTTCCTAAAATTCACAATTATGTAACTTTTTTCTTGTTGGGCACTGGTCTTTCTAGACATAATTATGTCTTCTGTTAACAAATGTTGGCAGCTAAGAATGAAAGTCGTTTAGATGCATAGTTATCATGCAGCCCATGTGCCTTCTTGATTGCAGTTTCTGATGCTGTTTAAATGTCATCTCACACCAAATCATCTCAAGCTTAACTAGTTCATTAGATGAACAATGTGTGGTGCAATCCATTATGCAAAACATCAGGTGCAAAGAAGCAAATTTGCTAGTAGTTTTAAGGAATATTATAAGAAAGCAGTACACCTGTGACATTCAAGCCCTAATATGTTTTTATCTATCACTTCATTTAACCTGCCACTTAACCCTTTTGTGGTTCAAGTTTCTTTTCTGTCTCCAGACATGCTTGCATCTTAGATGCTAAACTAAACTACCTCAGAGGAAAATGCTAAAAATTATTAGTTATTTCTACGTAAAGCTTTTCAACACATCACTCTGATATCTGCTGTCTGCTATATAAAGCATTGTTTCAGCTGTCTCTGCAGAGGGTCACTTCTTTAACCATGGAGTAAAATTCAAGGCAGGAGAAAATGTGGGCAAATATTGTATGAAGTTGAAATCATAGGGAGGCAGAATTCTGGATTGATTCCTTGGTGATTGTGCAAGGTGCAATGAAATACAAACTCTGGTGCCTCATGTTTATATGCAATGATTGTATCATCAGGTTTTTTGTTTATCACTTAAACTGAAAATAGAGAATAAATTTGAATGAAAGGTTTACTCCATGTTTTGGGAATTCATTAGAAGATGTAGATCAGTTCTTTACTAGCACTGTTTTGATTAAGATGAAACTTGGCATACCTTTATTGTACTGTTTCACTTTTTTATGAATGATGACAGTTAATACAGTACATACTAATACAAAATAACATCCCAGTCCCTAGACTGAAGTATTTAGAAAATGCTGTCATAGTGCAGAAGTCTGTGCCTTAGAATGGCCTTGAAATTTCTCTCAGAGGGTGCATTCTTACAACCTAGTTTATAGCAGCGCAGCTGATAGAAGTTTTGTTATCAAAGGTAGACGGCAGTGCTCTTGGGTGCCAGGAGAGCTTTCTGAGAAGCTGTGGACTCCTTGTGTAAATCCCAGTCCCTTATCTCTCTTTGCTTCCCCTGCTCCCAGCCTAGCTCATTGCTCATTTTTCCAAGGGTATAGACAGAGGATGACTGGAAATCTTAGTGCTCCAACAGTAACTGGCCAGTACAAAGGGTCACATAAGTGCTGATAAAACTAGTTTGGCAGATCTGGTGGCTTTGACTAACCATAATACAGAGCTTTCATGTTAGCTGTTTTTCTTCCTCTGGTGAGGGATAGTAACAGGCAGCAGAGTGAGAGGATGTTTGAAGCTACCACAGCTTTTACCATCCTGCCTAAGGCTACAATGCTTGAAGCCTGTCTTGAGCTCATGCTGACACAGTCTTGTCCCTGTTCTTTGTCCTGTTTTTTTTATACTGCCAGTAGCGTTTGTCAGACACTAACCTTCTTTGGGTTTTGTTTTTTTGGGTTTTTTGTTTTGTTTTGTTTTTAGGGCTGGGTCAATTTGCAAGAATACATTTTCAGAAGGGGCGGGGGGGAAATCTGCATGCAGCAGTACTGATTTAGATCAACCATATCGCATTATATTTGCATCCTAAAAGTTCACTGCTTCCCAAGGAGGGGGGGGGTTGGAAGTGCAGGCTAGCCTGATTAAACTCTTCTGCATCTTCACTCTTAAATTTTGTTTATAGTCAACTGGGGTGAATGTAAGAGTTTTTCTCAGTGGTATGACTATTTTTTCCTCTTAGATACAACCATATGTGAATGGAACACTGTATAGCATTCTTGCCATCCCTTCTGTCCGAGAAGAAGCCAGAGCAATGGTAAGAAGTGCTGCTTTGCATAGCACAAAGATCAATACATATGCCAAAGATGGCGTGCACGCAGGTACCTGTTGAGCAGCGTGCAGCAGGGTTGTGAGGTAGGAGCCATGGCATTTGAGAAGGAAATCCACAAGAGGCCCTCCACCTCTGATATTCAGGCAGGCATGAGTGTATGTCTCAAACACTTTTGCCATATTTGCTGGTCTTTTCCCAGAAGTGGAGCCCCAGCAGTGTGAAGGATTCTATCTAAATTATATATTAAAGGTGTTATTTTAGAATAGTGTTGTCCATCTAGCATTTTGTAGACTGGATGTGGCCCAGGAGATGCTTTCAGCTGACTTGCTACTTCTTTCCCTTATTTAACTTACTATACACCAGTGAATAGCCACTAAGTGGATGAGTTCCTCTTGTTGCTCTTGTTTCTGCCTGGTATAGACATGGTTAGCTGGGGAAGGCAGCAGGAGGAAGGTTTTAGCAGAACTAGGAATTGATCTTCCGTGAAAGTTAGTCTAATGGTAATGAATGTGTTTTGACTTCTGGATTTGAGGAAGCCACTCCTGGGACAGCAGTGTATCTTTATATCTTAAGGATTAACCTAGAGAGTTATGCAGACATAGAATCATAGAATGCTTTGGGTTGGAAGGGACTTTTAGAGGCCATCTAGCCCAACCCCTCTGCAGGGAGCAGGGACATCTTTAACCGGATCAGGTTGCTCAGAGCCCCATCCAACCTGACCTTGAATGTTTCTAGGGGTGGGGCCTCCACTACCTCTCTGGACAACCTGTGCCAGTGCTTCACCAACATAATTGTTGTCAGATGTTTTACCTCACAAAGCACAGAGGATTGGAAGTCATCTTAAATGAATAAAGATACAACATGAAGCCTATAAGGGGCCACAAAGAGAAACTGGGTTTAAGAGAAGGTCAAAGTCGGTCCTGCTTTTTGCTTTCCTTCTCTGAACCTTGCACTGTTGTATCTATGAAAACAAATTTGCCCTTTGTACTGTGTTCAGAAGGCAGAAGCAGCAGATCTGTTGTAAAAATTTGCTGTTCATCATGGATACTTCTGTATTTAAACCTAGAAGCAATCTAGACAGCATATTTCTTTTGTCTTTGGGAAGCGTATAGACAAAATGGAGTGCTTAGAGCTGGACATGGTGGTTTGTTTCACACTACCTTTGTTTTTCCTGACAAAACAATGACATTTTAGCTAACAAAACTCTGTCACTGTGGTCACATGAAATACTAATCTAGCAATGTTTTCCACTACATCCAGGGAATGGAAGAAATTCTGCGCTGCTTTATCAAGGAAGGAAATGCAGAGATGATCCGACAGATTGAATTTATTATCAAGCAGCTCAATTCAGGTCAGAAGAACAGATGCAGCTATCTGAGCTATAAATCTTTCACAAAAGCCATAAGAAAGCTCATGTTTTTACTTGGCATTGAAACTCTCAGAGAATAACAATAGTGTGATGGTCTGAGAGAGGGTGAATAGTGAATGTTAGGATTTGAATGTCAGATGTGTTTTAAAATTTCCTTTTGTGTTACAATTCTAAAGAAGAAATAAAAGGCTGAGTAGGTCTAAATTCCAAAGTTTTGGGACTGTAAATAGAATGACCTTGACTGTTTTCTTTCATGCTCATGGCCTCACAGTAATGAGAGACTGCTGTCAACTGCAAAAATAAACAGGTGATACAATTTGTAAAGCAGGATTTAGGGACTAGGTCTGTATCTGCTCACCTCTTGCTCTATTGAGGAGTGTAGCTTTGTTAATCTGAAATGGCTTATCCTGAACAGGGGGCAGAGACCACCCTTTTTTGAGAGTTTTTTGATGGGTCTTAGGAGTTGTAGATGCTGTGTTAGTACAGACAAGTATGAGGAGGTGGAATATTTATTGTATTTGCTGTTCCCTGTGGCTGAATGGAAGGCTGAAGAAAGAGAAAGCAAATAACGAAAAGGAGGTGAATTTTGATTAAATCTTTCTGTACAGAAAAAATAGAACAAGTTTGATTGCTTTCTTTGGCTTTTGGAAAGAGCAGAAGACAGCATATCTTATGGTCCTAGCTTGTAAAAGAACAAATAAAGTATTTAAGCACTATATTGCCACTATGCAATATTTGTTCATCAAGGTTATAGAATTGCTCCTTTTCTACCTGTGAATGGTATTTTTAAAAGGTTTTGTCTGATTGGTGAGTAAAAGTTGAGCATACAGATTTCCAGTATAAGCCTGGCTGCTTTTTTCTAAGGGAAATGAGTTTGTCCAAAAGCCACAATAAGTATTTTATGTATTATCTTTTTATGTATAAAAGCAGTATAATATTGGACTGTTTGCAGGGAGATGTAGAGTCTTTTATTAAAAATTAATTGAAAAATAGACAAACTTGCAAGTGCACATGCTTTCATTCAAGTCTTGTTGGTAAATACAGAGACATCATAGTGGGATTTATGAGAAAAGAACTATTCCAGAGTGTTTCTGTTTCTGCCATTTTACCAAATATGAATTTATCTTGGTGATTTCTAGAATGCTTTATAGAGCAAATAATTCCAATAGTTGTCCCGAAAAGAATGGGATGTTTGTATGGGAAGCAAGCTAAATCTTACTGTTGTAAAAAAGGAGCAATAACTAGAGATTCTGTTAAGTTGCACAGGTATTCTTACAGCATTTTGTTTTGCTTCTTTCTAGAAGAGCCATTAAATGATAGTATTGTGTCTGATGATGAAGAGGAAGAGGAGGATGAGGAAGTAAGTTTAAAGGCCTTCAGGCACCTTCTAGAAAAATCCTTAACCTTCTAGACAGAAAATATTTGTGTCAATAAGCCAGACTTTGATTTTTGGGGTGGTTTTTTGTTGTTGTTTGGTTTGGGTTTTTTTACTTTTATGTAATTACCAGGGTATATTAACAAGAAAATTGGATCTGTTTCCATTACCTTATCTTCATTTGAAGTCCTACTCTTTAATTTTGGCAAGTCACCACCTCTGTGATAAATAAAGGATTATATCTTGAAATAAGTAAAGAGATGAGTCGTAACTCTCTGTATGTAATGAAGGAAAACAGTAATTACAAATTAAGAAATAAGTCCCATAAAAAGAGAAAATTAAAAAAAAAGAAAGTAAGCATGAGAAACTGTCATAGTAGATATAAACTGGTCAGCTGTGTATTTCTAGCTCTGCTAATAAACGCATTTTATACTAATACTTCACCATTTTTTAAGAAGCTGTCTGCATAGAATAATGGGATCCCAGGTGTAGACAACACAGCATATTTGGTCATCTAAATTAACAAGCAAAGCAAGGTGTAAATGATGCAAGGGAAATGTTAAACCCAGTCTTCACTGGTGATGTTACTATTGCTATGTTGCCATAAGTGCGGGGGG